TTAGGAATCACAGAATGTTCTCCGAAAGGTAGAGCACATCTTGTCCAAACAGCCTATTTTACAAACTAAGGTCTGCAGAGATTGAGTAACTTGCCTAAAGCCACACTAAGTTAGGAGAGGAAGGGTTGGGATTTGCTTTCCTGTCAACTAACTCCCACATGGAGGAATACATGCATGCCGCTGAGGTTTAGAAAGCATGATTTGTAAGCTAGAAATACAACATGTTAGTTCTAAAGGGAGAGGCACTGGCAGAATTGTTCCTACCCTTCATTATTAGGACACTCCCATGGCAAGGCCAACCTAGAAGATGAAATTACAGCCTGCATGTTGGCCTGTTGAATGTATGACCAGTTTTATTTCCATCCTCAGCATAAGCTCAGGCCTGTCCACCCATCTCCAGCAGCCCCACCTTTGCTTAGGCAGTTTCCCCTGCGGGAACCTTCTCCCTCCTACTCCCCAGACACAGTTACTGTACTGTGGGCCTCAGGGTCACTGTAAGAATGGACCAAGCTATCATTACACAAGCATTCCTGTAAAATAGCTCACCCCTAGGACAGGTTGCTCACTGACCCATGCGATGGGTTGAACATGTCCTTGGCATCAAACTGTGTGTTAAGCATTTTCTTATGGGACCTCATTTAACCCTGACAACACACTATTTATACATAAGAAAAGTCAAGGCCAGGCATGGTGGCTCATGCCTGTCATCCCAGCACTTTGGGAGGCTGAGGCAGGCAGGTAACTTGAGCTCAGGAGTTCAAGACCAGCCTGGGCAACATGGCAAAACAACATCTCTACAAAAAAATTCAAAAATTAGCTGGGCGTAGTGATGCAGGCCTGAAGTCCCAGCTACTGGGGAGGCTGAGATAGGAGGATCACTCAAGAGTTTGAGGCTGTAGTGAGCTGTAATCGTGCCACTGCACTCAGCCTAGGTGACAGAGCGAGATCTTGTCTCCACTAAAAAGAGAAAGAAAAAAAAAAAGTCAGGTTCAGCTTAAGTAAAAAAAACTACTCAGCTAGAAAGTGGTTCATTTGAATCAAGATCTGCCTGGATCCAAAGTTTCATGTGTAGATTGAAGTAAAATAGAGGCCGGGATCAGCAGCTCACCTCTATAATCCCAGCACTTGAGGCCAAGGCAGGAGGATGGCTTGAGGCAGGGGTTTGAGACCAACCTGGGCAACACTTCATAACCCCATCTCTACAAAAAGTTTAAAAATGATCTGGGTATGGTGGCACTCGCCTGCAGTCCTAGCTACTTGGGAGGCTGGGATGGGAGGATCGCTTGAGCGCAGAAGTTTGAGATTATAGTGCGCTATGATCGTTCATAATGATTGAAGCACAAGTGAGATTTCACGGAAGTACAAAGGCTTCAAGTTGCAGACCTATCCTTTCAGGAATCAGGCTCTAACCCCAGGCTCTTTGGGAAGTCTCCCGCCTCCTATTTCCACAAACCAGATTCCTCCTGCTTTGATTGACATCTTTAATGGTACTGCAAATTTTCTGCATTGAATCAGTGTGTCTATGGTCTTCCCCTGTAGACTCCTTCTAGAAAAATAACTCTGTCCGTGAAAACAAATTCATTCATCTTTTTATTACCTTTACATGCTTCACAGTAGACTGCAGCGAATGTACAGCATTCAAGGTAGAGGAGGGTAACTAAAACAGATGTGTACCATTCACTGATTCCAACAGCCAAGTTCATAGTTATTTTCTACTGTTACATTTAGACTGGAGGATCCCCAGTGGAATGCATAGGGATATCGTCACCAAATCATTCGTAAATCATGTTTTGGAAATTATGGGAAGAGTCTATTTCTTGTACCTATTTATGGTTACCACCCAAAACACTTCCAGGCTTAACACAAGGCACTCATATAGAAACAGCATTTTGTAGTTTTCCATGTGTGTGTAAATCGTTGGTCACAAGAACAGAAAAATAGCTCAGCAGCTGTCTGAGCTATGTGATGTACGCAAAATGTATGAAGCCCAGAGAGACCTGAGTGTGGGACTTCAGTCATGCTCCCCCTTTCCCAGGGAAAATTGTTTAAAGGCATTTTGCTCCTAACTAACTGCTTCACCCATTACTTTCAGGTTTACAAAATTTGTGATACAAAGAACAAGGTATAACAAATCAATAGCTTAAATAATTTTAATGTACATTCTTGGTAAATCACTTAGGAACTGTCTCTTCTTTTCATTTATTTATGTGTTTATTTAGAGACAGAGTCTCACTCTGTCGCCCAGGCTGGAGTGCAGTGGTGCGATCTCGGCTCACTGCAACCTTCTCCTCCCGGGTTCAAGTGATTCTCCTGCCTCAGCCTCCCGAGTAGCTGAAACTACAGGCACCCGCCACCACACCCAGCTAATTTTTGTATTTTTAGTAGAGACAGGGTTTCACCATATTGGCCAGGCTGGTCTCGAACTCCTGACCTTGTGATCTGCCCGCCTCGGCCTCCCAAAGTGCCAGGATTACAGGCGTGAGCCACTGCGCCCAGCCTTCTTTTCTTTTAAAAACCCACTTGTAACTGCTGCTCATCGGAGCATATATTCAGGGCAACTTGAGTCTATGCTCCTGGGTTGCAGTCTGAAAACTTGCCCCAAATAAACTCTCTACTTATATTACTTTTGCCTCGGTTTTTTGCCTTAGGTCTACGGTCTTATATGATCATAGCCATCCCCATGGAGAGTGGTCCACAAAGCCCACTTACTCCTTTGTCCCTACCATCAGCCCCAAGTCACTGGATCCCCAGCTCTGAGCACCACACCCAATTCTGAGAGGCTTTAGCCACTGATCCCTCTGTCTTCCCAGCTCTGAGTGTTCCCAACACCCTGAATGCAGCTGCCTCATAGACAGCCCCAGGCCAGCTTTAGGAGAGGTCTGGAGGAAGGCTGCTCAGTCCAGGTTTCTCCTTGAATTCCTTCCTTGGAGATTCGCTGAAGCCCCAGACTAACCCATCCACCTTCCTTGGGAAAGGAGGCATGTGGACAGGGGGAAGGAGTTGGTCGTGAGGAGTTCTGGAAAGCAAAGGACGCCTTTTTCTTTCCTTCTGGGGAGAAAGACTCTGGGCTGGGCGCGGGGGCTCACACCTGTAATCCCAGCACTTTGGGAGGCTGAGGCAGGTGGATTATTTGAGGTCAGGAGTTTGAGACCAGTCTGACCAACATGGTGAAACTCCTAAAAATACAATCTCTACTAAAAATACAAAAGTAGCTGGGCACGTGGTGTACACCTGTAATCCCAGCTACCTGGGAGGATGAGGCAGGATAATTGCTTGAACCCAGGAGGTGGAAGTTACAGTGACCTGAGATCACGCCATTGCACTCCAGCCTGGGGCAATAAGAGCGAGATTCCACCTCAAAAAAAAAAAAAAAAAAAAAAA